TTTTTAATATTTTAAGCAATTTTTTTTTTTACTTTTTATACATACCTAACATAAATACACCTAAAAAGTAAAAAAATTATAAAAAAAATCTTTTAAAAATTCAGTAAATACCAAAAATACAAAAAAAAAAGAGAAAAGAATTTAGTACATTTTTTTTCTATTTTTATGTATTTATTAATTTTTTAAAATATTTTTTCACAAATTTTTTACTTTTTAGATACATCTAAGTAAGGTGCATCTAAAAAAGTAAAAAAAAATGTTTAAAATTTTAAAAATATTCACTAAAAAAAAAAAATACGAAAACTAAAAAGTTAATTTTCAAAAAACTTAATCCAAAAAATTCAAACCAAACACACTGAATATTGTTTATAAAAAACAAATAGCTAAGTTAAAAATCATAAAAAGATGTAGGAAATTTCTACCTCAAAGCTAGAAGACGATTGAGAGAGTGAAGGAACTTCAACAACGCCGAAACTTAACTTTGATCGGATGAAAATGAAGCTCTAGATGCCTCTACTTTTTTAACAAAGGGAGTAGGATGGAGAAATGGATAGATCTTAGTGTATTTGTAGAGAGAGGAAGAGAGAGAGAGAGAGAGAGAGAGAGAGAGAGAGAGTAAGTTCTAAAGAGAGAGTGCCTCAACTTTAGGGTTTTGAAATGTTTAGAGAGGGGAAGAGTTGAAAAAGTGATGTAAAAAGTGACTGTTACGAACTGATATATGTACAGTCTGCAAGAACACAAGAAGTGACACTCGAGCGTCCAGCTACAAAAATGATTACCGCTCAAGCACAAGAAGTGACGCTCGAGCTCCAAGACACAATGAAAAAGGGCATCACCGCTTGAGCGCAAGAATTGATGTTCGAGCGTAGAATACACACTCTCAATAGTTTTACAGACAAAAAACCATCGCTCAAGTGTAAGAAAGGTCACCCAATCGCACCACCGCTCGAGCGTAGGATACACTTTCTTAGTAGCTTTGTAGGCCTGCAAAAGTACTGAGAGTCCACAAAGCCCTCTTGAGCACAAGAAGTGACGCTTGAGCAGAGGAGTAAAATTCTGGACAATAAAAGTTTGAAAACCAAGCTACCAACCTGTTCCATACGCAATCAATATAATCCAAAAGCCAAACTCAAGGAGGGAAAAGAGGAATGAGACAAGAACAACAATACAGAACCGTAAAACTCGAGTCTAGAATATCAAATAGGTCGGGTCTAAAGCCAAAATCGCTATATATCTAATATCAACCAAATAATGATAAATATTTAGTGCATTAACTATTTTATCAATTGAAAAAGACACATTAAAAAAAAAAAAATTAATTAGTACTTTTGCATTACAAAAAATAAAAAAAAGTAATTTCAAATGAAAATTATAATTAATATTTAAATAGCACAAGGCCTCACTTCAAATTTCTATCTTAGGCTTGGTTGTCCCCGGCTACAACGCATATACATGTGGTTTAGCCTACTTTGGCTAGATTTTCCCTATCCACAAAACTTAGATGCCCCTTAGAATCCAAACCAAAGTTCAAGGATGGATTATATAATCACCACATTGATTTCATAAAAAAACATGTAGGACAAAGCTTCTAGTTACGACTTTTCAATCGAAGTTACAATGTGTGATATTTGGAGTCGATTTCTTATTCACTGCTTGATGATTTTGATCAAACTCAAGTTCAGTATTCATCTACACATCTAGGTGAACACATTGCACCATGGACTTGTGGATGTGTGGGGTGTACTTTAATTTTGATTTAAAGTTGACCGTTGTTTGTACCCTTTTTGGCAAAATTGCCATGTGACAATTTTCTCATTTAATTGAATGATACATGGTGATAAAAGATGGAGAGTTTGATGATTTTGGTGGGTCCAATGACGTGAAAATGGTAGCTGAGCAAAGAGATTTAATTTTTATTTGATTAATTGACCAAGTCAATTGGTTAATTAATCAATTAATTAATGAAGATAAATGTGGCCTCAATCGTTTCCTAAGAAGTAGGAGTGGGTTGAGTTGAGGCCCTCATCCTTAAAAGATGCATTTTTTTCTTAAATTATGCGAGGATGTTGGTTATGGATAATACGCATGGCAACTTTTTTTGATAAGCAAAAGAGAACTTTATTGATGAAGAAAGCAGAACAAGCATAAAACTTACATCAATAAAGAGGGAAGTGCAAAAGCATTACCGCTGGCCTTAACAATCCCAACTAGGTTGGCACCGCTAAGGAAGCAATAACATCTGCTAGCACTTGACCCAAGATTGGCGAGAAACCAATCCAGAGAAAGCAAGAGAAAGTATGCTAAGTGTTTTTGAGGATGTTGGTTATGGATAATACGCATGGCAACTTGGGAGGCTTAGTGGACTAACAAGAAACTAGAAAATGGGACAACTAGCTATTAGTGGTAAAAGTGACTGCTATTCTTGAGGATCAAGTTAAGAAAAATGGGAAAGTGGCAAGGAATGAGGTCCTAGCAATTGGAGCAGAATTGGGAGCATCTTCAACTCTATAAAAGGACTGCAAGTGCAACATTTGAATGGTCCAACACTAAACACTCAACAAAGAGTTCATCTACATAATTATCTTTGCAATTTTCAACAATTGCCTTTCATTGTCAGCAATTCAATTCCAGCAATCAATTGTTTAACAAAATTAGCCTTAGATTAGTCAATTTACTTCATTTTCTATCAATGAAAGTTCAATTATAGTTTAGTTTCTTTTGCACCTAAAAATTTTAGTTTAAAGTCCTTTTCATTGGGACAAGATCCGAATTAGTGGCAGTTTCTCTAAGCCACATATAGTTATTACCCTATGTGAAGCTATAAATTTCGAAAACAATCCTAACCTTAGACTGGGTTTACAAGTTCTAGCATGTCCGCATCCAATCCTAGTAAACACAAGCTTATGTATTTGCCCTTAATTTTCTGAGTGGTAAACAACCATAAAACTAAATTTTCAAAACCATTTTATAACTAGAATTTTTATTGTTTGCCTATAATGAAAAACTTGTGGGATTCTAGTGTATGGAAAACATAGAGGGTTAGGCTTTTAGAAAGGTAGGAGTGAGTATGTACTTTTCCACCGAGTTAGTAGAATATTTTCCCTCACTCCTAGACGTAGGTACGCTTGTGCCAAACCATGTATATCTTTGTATAATTTTTCTCTTTAATGTATGCATGGATATGCTTTCGTTTATATTAGTGAGATACACCAAAAAATCAACATTTCATTTAAAAAAAAAAAAAAAATCTCAACATTTCATTTGTGTGTAATATTAAACAATTCACTATTGTAATAGTGATATCATGTGATGAGTTTGTGTGGTAGATCTCCATGCTCAATCGAGGCCATAAAATCCCATGTAACTTGGAACACATTTTTCATTGAGCCTTAATCCCTATAGATGATCCTAGATGGTACTTTTCAAAAATTTCAAAAACATTTTCATTTTGTAATCACAACGCTAACTTCTTTTTTAATCACAATGCTAACTTCTTTTTTTTTGATCGGCAAAAAAATCTTTATTGATGACAACATACAAGGTATGGAAAAGTACATCAATAAAGAGGAGCTTGGAGCTAAGACAAAGCTCGAAGCGCCAGTTGGTGAGGAACCAACCAAAAAAGAGCAAGAGGAGAAAGAGAAGGGAAACAAACAGCAGAAAAACAGAAAAACTGGTAACAGACACCTAATTAAATTACCTAATTACACCACACAGCACAACCCTCAGGTGAATTAGCACCCAGGAACACACTCCACTGCACAGACCAAGAACACACTCCTCTGCACAGACCAAGAGCACACTGCAATTCTGAACCACCCTCCTCTGTACAGACCAAGAAAGCAGTCCTCTGTACATACTGAATGAATCTCCTCTGAATCATCCACCCCTGCTAATTCTGAGAGCATACCATGGGCTGCAACAAGCTGAATACCTCACTGAATGAAGACAGAGTTCAGACCAAAGGCCCAGCGAAGGCAAAACATGGAGGCCTTTGACACCAGACTTCAGCACTAGCAGAACATCAATTCATACCCATGAACCAGATAAATTCAGACTACACCTCTTGCCACCAGCAGACTACGCTAAACTGAGCAGAACCAAGGCCATCCCAAGACAGATGCATCCCAGCACATCAAATTCATCACAACACTGCTTCAGGAACAAACAACCTAATGAACACATAGCCATCTCCCAACAGATCAGAATTAGCACATAGCATACCAGGACTCATTCACAGAACAACAGAAGGCAGCATATACCAGCACTTATGCAAAACCTTTTTTCAGTAGAGCAAACAAAACAACCCACAGAGCTTTACTATGCCATCACTTAACTACACACAATAACAGACTTGACTCAGATTGTATATAATGTCATGCACCGAATAATTAATCCCCTTTAAAGATGAGGAAGCCCACAACGCTACTCTCACCTTTATTAGCTCTGCCAAAGCAGTCCAATCCGGTTGCACCTTGTTAAATACACAGTCATTTCTGCTTCTCCACACTGACCACATTACTGCTACCGGCAGTGTTTTCCAGACTGTTAGCATCTTTTTCTTCATTTTTATATTTGGCCATGACAGCAATAAACCCTCCACTGATCCAGGGCTAGCCCATTTGTAATTCCACCAGTTCACCAAGTTGGCCCACAATTTCCAAGTGAAATGGCAGTGAATAAACACATGATTAACAGTCTCCAACTCAGATTTGCAAAACACACAGAGAGAAGAAACATTTGGGCTCAACACTCCAACTTTTTGCAAAAATTCATAACACTTTACTCTTCCTCTCCACGCTAGCCAACTCAAGAATTGAGCTTTGGGAGGGGCTAAATTGATCCAAATACACCTAGTTACTGTAATATCTACCCCTTGACTTGCTAACTTCTTTGTAATCACAAGTTAGTATTGTAATCATAATAGTAGCTTTTGCAGCCAACGCAACATAAACTGTTCTTTTAATGATTTCATTTTCTTCACAAACATATGGAGAAAACACAACCAATATATTATGCCACGATAATTTTACCAGAGTTTTATATATTGTCACTGGAACTTTGCAAATTGAAAAGATAAATTTAAAACTAAACATTTATTATTAAGAAAAAGCAAGCCAATATGTTTCTCTCAGCTAGACACTCAGAGATGAGAGACTCTCCTTATTCTTCCCAAGCAGTTATCTACCGGCCTTGGATGTGGTAAGTGCATAATAGGACACCCAGGATTGAGTCGTTCAAACCTGCATAATTAAGAAAATTCACGTTAACTATTACAAGTTTGTTCTCTCCTTTCCTACCTCTTATGAGTAAGCAACATAGTACGAGTATTACACAAGATACACATGCGCATAAACAATTGTATACTATAATTTGTACTAATATTAAAGACCATAGCTAAGAATTATTATGTAAATGGACAATTAGAATAAGAAAATAAAATCCATATATAAGTACTCACTCATAATTAAGAAGAAAATGGTGTAGAAAAATAGCAATTTCAAGCTTCGCAAGATCATTTCCAGGGCACAACCGGCTTCCTGCTCCAAAAGGAAGAAAAGTTCCTGCTTTGGGAGTAAGTCCCTATACACAATGTCAAGCAAATATTAGTGTATTAAATCCCAAACGCCTAAAGTACATAATAAAAAATGTAGAATATGCTTTGCATAAACCATATGTTAAACAATTATTTATAAATTAATTAATTAATAAGTAGAAAAAACATGATATTATTAAACTTACATCCCATCGGGAAGGATTAAATACCATCGGGTCAGGGTATATTTTAGGGTCGAAGTGCACACCCCTAAACCAAACCAAAACTTTCCATCCCTTGGGAATAGTATAACCTGAAACACAAGTAATTGAGTTCCCTTAATCATAAGATGGTTACTTAGACAATGGCTACTTTAGAATTATTTGCTAAAGTACTTATTTATTAGTGTTTGAAAGCAATTTTTTAAATTATCTCTTTTCTTCTTTAGTTTTTTTTATTTTATTAATTATATACAAAAACAAATTTCTTCAATTATCTATGGAGAAAATTTGAGAAATTTACTAAAGATGACAAAAACCGATTTAATTGATAAAATAACTTTGTAAGATTCTTCTTCGTTTTTGGTATACAATTTCTGATTTCCCTTCAAAAATTCTATTTTATAGGATCTTTTAGTTGAAAAATGCTAAATTAGATAATCCAAAATCTAAAAAATATGCAATCCATTAAAAGGGAATCTTATTTGAGAAACTATCAACACTGCTTTGCAAATGTTTTAAGAACCCACACTATATATACAATAAAAAGAATTAATTCTAAACATTTATTAGGGTTGACCCAAAAAAAAAAAAAAAATTGCCCCCCCCAAAAAAAAATGACAATCCAAGGAGACAATTCAATCAGTTCAAGGTGTTGAAAAAGAATTTCAAAGGTGACTATTGATAATCCTGAGATATTAAAAAATTTCGTTTAAAGAGAATGACATAAAATAAAATTCATAGTGCCTATGATGTGTATTAACACATTTCTTAAGGCCAAAACACGTAGTGTTTTTGGGGTCGATTTCTATTGGTATAAACACACTACAACTAATTGTAAAAAAAAATTGTGAGAGAAATTAAACATGAGTTTCTTTCCCAATAAAGGACATTTGTAGCAAATAATTTTATTTCACAAACATCATTTAACCAAAAAAAGATTATATACTCTTTTTAATTGATCAAGTAGAAAAGAGAAAATCTAGAAAATGAAAATTTCACAATTATATATAAACTAACCACATATATTGACATCTGCTTTTGCTTCTCGAAAGACCATAAGTGAGAATGATACCACGCGAAGTGTTTCATCAATCACCTTCAAACGAGAGAGGAAAAAAAAATTAAAGAAGCCGTCTTGGATAAGTTTTGATTTTCAAATGAGTTAATCCAAAAAATAAAATAAAATAAAATAAAAAGAAGAAAAGATCACGTACCTTGGAGAGATACTCCATTTGTCGATATTCATTGAGTGTCAACCATTTCTGTGTAGATGGCATGTTTTTTACTATTGCTTCTTGCTCAGCCTGCAATCCAGTACAATGTACTTAGGAAACATACTTTAAAATTTATAACAAAACCTAAAAAATTAACAAAAGAACATATAACTTTTTGTTTTTGAATAACAATACAAACCCAAAGTTTTTCAGAAAAGTGGATAATCAAGATGACTAATGTAGTATCTATCAACATTACGTTTTGTGCATACTTTTATTTTTGTTTTTTGAAATTTCGTTTGTTTGTGGCATTGCTGCTATTTTTTAAAAAAAAAAAAACTTGACACAAGTAAAGATTAAAGATAACAATAACCTATCCCCAAAAAAAAAAAAAAGAAAAAAAGAAAGGAACATAACGAACTTGTAGATTACACTACTGCCCTCTATTGACCTACAGATATGGTTGAACTTCAACTTATCAAAATTGACATAGTTTGTCAGAATACCAGATAAAGACAAAGGGCAGGTTTTACTAGGTGATCAAGTTAGTTAATATGGTTAAGCATTTAAACTAGTTTGCTAACACTTCAGAATACTGCACTTCATTAACCCAAACACAACTAGTTCCCTTTGTCAAACATTGATGAACTGTGTATACATAGCTAAAGGACTAGTTAGACTCAAAACCTTTGTTATCTAGAACATGAATCATTTCATTATATGGAATGGGAATTGAAATAATAATTTAATATACTTCTAAAGTATATTAAATAAGAGTAGGTTTGTATATATTACAATATAGCAATTTAATATATTTCTAAAGTAATTTTCTTTGAAAAATTAGAAATCTAATTTTTTTTATTTTTTTTTATTTTTTTTTTCTCCAAATTAATCATGTGGCAACACATTTCTATCAGTACTATAACTCATTTTTCTGATCAAAAAAACTATAACTCATTTTTGACATTTTGTCCTATCAAAATTTTACCCATCTTAAATTTTAGCTCGTTACATATGGCAATTTTTATTCCAAGGAAATTTTTTTTAGATCGCTAAATTTGCTTCTTCTTCTTCTTATTATTATTTTATATAATCAAATCTACTATATGTTTCGGAATGTATACTTAAATATTAGCATTTCTGATAATATTAAATTAAACATAAGGCTCCATTACCTTAGCTCTTTGGAACATTTCTTGGTGATCCTGCAACAGTAGGGTAGCCCACATTGTGACGTGCCCAGAAGATTCATGACCAGCATTTAGATACATGATTAGGATGTCAATGATTTCTTCATCGTCTAAGCTCTTTCCATTCTCATCTTTAACATCCAACAGTGCATCCATCATGTCTTTCTTCGATGTTTGTGGATCGTTCTTTCTTCGCTGCCTGCGCTTTTGCACTACAGATTGCAAGATAGCCACAAGCTTTTTCCTTGCCTGAAATTTAGTTCCAATTTATAATTTCTCAAAACATGGAAAACTATAATAAAATCAACAAACGGTTCAATATATTCAAAGAAGTATTCAATTATTGTGTTTTCATAATGTATAGTTTTATTAGATGTCTTAAGGAAAAAATTGGAGAAATTATTATTCAGGGTAGTTTTTAAAAAATTATTACATATTAACAAAAAAAGTTTATGATATTAATTATTAATAATTATAATATTTTCCAATTACATTTGTCAGTGTAATTGCCCTGAAAAAATCATACCTTCCCCCAATTTGAGGTCAACTAAATAAGTAAAAAAGATTGTTTATTATCAATTAAAAAAATTTAAGAAGTCATTCAACCCTTTCTACTCACGAATAAATAAATAAATAAAATAAAATAATAACTTTCCAGACACATCAACTTTTTTAAATTTTAAAGTAGTTAAAAAAATCACTAAAAAAATTAATGTCAAACTCTCTCTTAGTATTATTTGGACAGTTTACTTGACATACACAAATTCAAAATTTCAAGCCCGAATTCAGGTTCTATTTGGCAACAATTAAAAAAATCATATTTTATTTTATATTTATCTAAATATTTTTTTTTGATTTGTGTCAAAAAAAATAATTTTCAGGTCCGTCTAATTTCAAAGGATCTAAAAACTAAAAAATAAAAATAAAAAGTCCGAAAAAATTCAATAAATGATATTTTTTGTTTTCTTTTTTCCTTTTTCTTCCTTTATCGGATTTAAAAAAAAATAAAAATAAAAAGAATTTCAAAAAACATGAAAACCTCACCTTAGCTAATATGGAAGCAAATATAATTATAAAAAAAAAAGAAAAAAAAAAAGGTATGCAAGCCTAACCTTGAGTGCTTTATGATAAGCAAATCCTGGGAGGTTGATTGCCATGGCTCTAACACCATAATTAAATGCTGTATATTCCCTCTCCATGTCCTCAATCACAAGCTCACTCTCCGCGCTCAAGAAAATGTAAGTAATTATCCTAAAAGTGAGCTTTCTAAGCTTGGTTAAGAACTCAATTTGTCCCATACCACTCCATTCTTCCAAGTTTGATTTCACATTCTCTTCAATATATCTCATGTAAATGGACAGAGACTCATGGCCATTGACCGGTGCTGCTGTTAACTTGCGAAGGCGCTTGTGCTCCTCAAATGTAATGTCGCCGATAAACGACTTCTTTCCAACGAGTTCTATAGTGGAGGTAGGCCAACCGGGCTTGAAATATTCATCGTCTGTTAAGACTCTCTTGCAAGTTTCAGGAGTTGTGACAATGATGCTCGGATTGCCAAACATGACAGCCTTGTATAAGCCGGTACGTCCAAATCTGCATTTTTGGATAATAATGTGAATTTATTCAAATGAGACCGAAAAAGGTTTAATATTCAATGCAAACCACACATTACCAAATTTTGTGTTGTTGAAAATTTTGAAAATGGAAGTTGTTTTATAATCTTTTGAATGTGACACTGTTTTGGTATGGCCACCAAGTTTAAATAAAAATTTATACATAATTTAAAAGATAGCATGTTCTGCAAGCTCGGATAATATTATTTTTTTCATATTTGGTATCAGAGTCAATCGTACTGCCATGTGAATTAGGGCATTATGATGCAAATTCCATTCAAAGTTCTGTCATGCTGTAAAAATTTGTTTGTGAACAAGATTTTCAACATCTTGAAATTTCAAAATATATTTAATAATTGAAAAACATTCTATTTTGATTGTTGAATAATTAAGGAAAGCACCCTTCCAGGCTCAAGATGTGAATCTTAAATATGAGGTGAAATCATACTCTTAACAAAAAGTAATGTTGGGATGGTCAAATTTTTGTTCTCAAGGGGACTGGTAGGGCCTGGCCACCCCCACCAAAAAAGAGAAAATAAAAAGAAAAAAAAAATTATTTAGACCTCAACAAAATTTTAAGTATTTGCAATATATTTAAGACGTCTAGGTAAATTTAATTAGAACGTTTTTATCTTAAGAAAATAATAAAATTTTGGTATTTCTTAACCGCACTTGAATATTATATTTTAAGTTTTAGACTAAAAAAAGAAAAAACTAGAACAAAAAATATTAAATAGTAACAAATAAATTATAAAAACTATATACGTCAACTAGACTTTTGAAATTGTTCTGTAGTGAAATAATATATATACAAGAATTTTGTAAAGAGTATATAAGATTCGTAATTTGGGCCCCTCAAGTCAATTTTTTGGTTTTGCCCCTAATGGTAATATCTTATATATCATTCATGTATTGTGAAGGAATCAATTGTGTCAATTCACTGATGACATACCAATTATATGTAAATGTAGTAAATTTGACATAAACTTTGATGGTCACTTTATTACTCCTTACCAAAATGTCTCTGTAAGTTAATAGTCGGATTTTGTTTATGTGTGTGAAAAAAATAAAAATAAAATAAAATTTGATTCAATAAACACACATTAATTGATTAAAAATAATAAGGTCTTCCATTTTAAAGGAGGTTGATCACACACCATTTTAAAAAATAAAAATAAAAATAAAAGGTTCATAACACTGTTTTAATCAAAGTACTATGTCATTACTTACATGATGCTTCAGATAAATTTTTTTTTTATTTTTTATAAAAAATTAGATGATTCTCAATTACTTAATAAATGTAGTTAATGTTATTCCACATGTTCATTTTTTTACCATGTCATTAGTTGGTGCGAGATAATATTTGTGTTTCCTATTTTACCTATTCCTAATCCAGATTTCTTTTGCAGTATGATTGGATTTCTTGTTTAGCATTTTATGTAAGCGTATAAATAGATTACCTCTTATAATAGTTATTCATCAATCTCAATAAAATATATATATATATATATATATTTTAATTCTCACAGTTCGAATCTCCATATGCAGCGGTAGAACCAAAGTGATTGCATAAAATAAAATAAAATAAAAAATTTGATACATTACTAATCGAAAGTAATTTTTACATAAGGGGTGTAAAAAAAAATTACTTTATGAAAAAAAAAAACACAAACTCTAACGTTTAAAAAAAAAAAAAAAAAATTCTTTTTCTAAACTTGTGAGCAATATTTAGCAAATAAAAGTATGTGCAGGTAAGTAGAATGAGTATCTACGAGAGAGAGAGAGAGAGAGAGAGAGGACCTGGTAACAAAGGAGGAGATGAAAGAATCAGGGTCATTAGACTTGAAGGCTCTGAGGAAAGACCACATGACGCCAATGAAAGGCCAACCCATATCACCTGGTGGCAGAGAGTACCTCTTCTCACCCAGCTTGGCTTCATACAGCCACCAATTCACACTCCTAAGCAACCACTTCAGACCAGCCACCACCACTCCACCCCCACAAATGCCCACAAACACCACCACCCCCACCACCCAACTCAAACCATACTCCATTCTAAACTCAGATGATTTTTTTACCACCAAGCTGATTTTTCTCAACCCTCTCTGTCTCTTTCCCAAGTCCTATGTAACTCTTATATATATGTCTACATATATACAAATATCTGTGAGAGAATTGGGTAATGTTATAGGACTTAAATTTTTTACCAAATAAATGATTAAATATCTCATATGGATGTGGGGTCTGTAATAGATTTTAAATTTTTTATCAAATAAATGATCAAATGTTTTACATAAATGTGGGGTTTGCAATATGATTAAATGTCTCACATGAGTGTGAGGTAATTATAGATTCCACACTTATGTAAGATATTTGATCATTTATTTAATAAAAAATTTGGTATTCCTACATTATTTTTTTGTCTGGCTTGGTAAAATAGGATAATCAATATGTAAAATCCAAAAACATTAATTATACCCCTCATCAATGTAAGGTTCTTGTACTTTTAATTGTGAGTTACGTTAGGATTTCTAAATAATCTATTTAATTTTTTATCAAATCTCTTACATAGGTATAGAATCTACACACATATAGGTTTGTGTGAATCTCACCCCATATGAGAGTTTTGATAAAAAATTTGATAGATTATTTGAGATCTATATCATTTTTCTTTAATTGTACTAATTTTATATTTAATTTTGAGTAAATTTATATACACAGAAACCAAACACAGAATATTATATACACAGAAATTAAACACAGAATGAGACACACCTCTCTCATAAGGAGTGGGTCCCACATATTGTGAGAGGGTTTCGTCCTATTCTATATTTAGTTTCTGTGTTTTATTTTTTTCACGTTGTATCAATATAGTTCAATCTAGTATAAAAATTGATGGAAATCAAAAATAAAATGATTCATTCAAAAGGAAATAGATTATTTCAGAATTTGATAGTTTAACTTTGCTCTTTAATTTCATTCTAATTTTTAAAGAATTGGTATCAATTAGGCTAAATTATACACAATCAGAAAATTTAAGAGTAAAATTAATACAATTATAATTATAAGGACCAATTGACATCATAAATAAATTAAAGAATTAGAGAAATAATTTGAACCACCATCCAAACTTAGTAAAATTAATACAATTATAATTATAAACACCAATTGACACCAGCAATAAATTATAAGAATTAGAGAAATAATTTGAACCACCATCCAAACTTATTTCAAAAGTAATTAATAATTTCTTCAAATTCCTTTTGAAGATGGATCACATAATCTCAACCTAACGAGCCCTATACCCAACCAAACAAATTGGAGATAAATTATTGGCATCTTTTGAAAAGATAGTTAAAAAGTTATTTTTGGCTTTTAATTTATTTTGGATCACATTGTTTATCTACTTTTTTACACGTTTTTTCAAAAAAAAAAAAAAAAAAACTAAAAAACCAATTTTTAACTAACTTTCCAAAATAACCCTAAACCCTAAATGTCATTAACTTATTCGTGTAAAATTCATAATCATGCCATAAATATGTCTCGGGCATTTATTTACAAGTCTCTCTTTATGTACTTATATTTTACTTAATTTAAATTATTTTTTATATATTCTAATAAATCTTATGGATGATATAGTTATCAAAATACACATAATAATAATATTCTCATTAACAATGTAAATGATTCGTGATATAAACATTTACATTGTGAATATAAAATGTTCATATCGTAAAATTTGAATGTTCATATCACCAAATTACTAAATGTTCAAAAAATATTTGTAAGGGTAAAATTACCTATAAAATACATTAAATATGATAATTAAAATTTTGGAAATCAAATGTTCAAATAATAGGACTTATTGGAATATAAGAATATGTAACATGTTATGGACTAATTAGAACACAAGCAGCTGAAAAATAATTTCCTAATAAATCTTCCATACATTTTTGTTGATTATTTATTTGTTTGGGTTTACTTAAAATTCATATAAAAGAGTTATTAAAGGAAAATTTTAATCAAGTATCTTGTATATGGAATTTATATAATGAAAGGTTTCATTCACTTTCTATTAATGCTAAAAAATTTAAACCATAACAAATGACTATAAAATTTTAAATTGGTATTATGTTAATTACAGATATAAAATCAAATCTCACTAATTATGGTTATAAAATTATGTCTCACCGAGGAGAATTTGTTTGGATTCACTTAAAATTCATACAAATAAATTATTAAAGGAAATTTTTAATCAAATCCCCTATATATGGAATTTATATAATAAAAGCCTTCACTCACTTTCCATTAATGCTAAAAGTTTTAAACCATAATAAACAAATGACCATAAAATTTTAAATTGGTATTACGTTAATTATAGATATAAAATCAAATCTCACTGGGCCTCGTTTGATATGTACTTGTTTTAGTCTAAAAATAAAAAAGTTATTAAAAAACTTAGAACTTATACTAAAAAGTCAAAAATGCCTTTTTGTCTCTACCTTTTGCATATCTTTTCATAAAAAATTAAAAAGTCGTTCCAAACATACTAATTTTTTTTATCTCATATTTTAACTAAAAAATTAAAAAGTTACTAAAGCAGTCTGTTCCCAAACGATACCTAATTATGGTTATAAAATCATATCTCTCCAAGGAGATTTTTGTTTGGGTTCACTTAAAATTCATACAAATGAATTATTAAAGGAAAATTTTAATAAAATCCCCTATATATGAAATTTTATAATAAATGGTTTCATTCACTTTTTATTAATACTAAAAGCTTTAAACCATAACAAATGACCATAAAATTTTAAATTCGTGTTATGTTAATTACAAATATAAAATTAAATCTCACTAATTATGGTTATAAAATCATATCTCACTAATCTGATTCAACACTTATTAACTAATAATCAATTAAGTCTGTTTGATAATTACAATTAATATTACCTAAAAATTTAAATATCTCTTAAAATATAGATTAAAACTTAAAAAAAAAAATTAAGGTTATGTTTCGGAATCATGATTTGGAAAAAATAAAAATAAAAAAAGTCAAAACTCATAACTAAACACACAACTCAAAACTCAATTCAAAAACTCTTTTCAAAACTCATAAGTTAACTCTTTTCAAAACTCTATTTAAAGTATTTATTAATTTTTTAAAATATTCTTTTCACAAATTTTTTACTTTTTAGATACATCTAACCAAGGTGCATCTAAAAAAGTAAAAAAAAGGTTTAAAATTTAAAAAATATTCACTAAAAACAAAAGAATACGAAACCAAAAAACGCAGTTTTCAAAAAACTTAATTCAGAAAACTCAAACCAAATTATTTTTTATTTTTTTTATTCTTTCGGAAAAATATATATATTTTTTATTTTTGAAGAAATATATTTTTAATTATTTAAAAAAAATATATGTATTTTTTGTTATTTTTTTAATTATTGGCTAAATAATTTGTTATGATTTAGATATATATGGGCAATCCAAAATTTTATAAAATTTTAAAAAATTAAATATTTAAAAAATGAATTATATTTAAAAATAGTTTATTTTTTATAAAAAATATTTAAATTATATATTTTAAAAATAAAATAAAATAAAATATTTAAAATAAAAAATATGAAAATATTTAAAATAAGAATCATATACTGAAAATAAAAAATAATTTTTAATTTTTTTTTAAATATTTGTAATATTTACAAAAAATGCAGTGCACAAATGTAGTAAATACAACGCCCATTAAAAAAAAAAATATTTTCTACCCTAGAAAAATAAAATTAAGAAAATTTCTAAATATTAAAAAAAAGAAAACCCAAAACAATTTCAAAATACAACTCAAAACTCATAATCAAACAAGTTTTTTCTTTTCAAAACTTATTTGCAAAAACTTATCTTTCAAAATATAAGTCCACACTCAAATCATAATTCGAAAATTAAACCAAATAGAGTTTTCATCTTTTTACACCGATTTTTTTACCCCTAGTACTTAAGGTTTCAATTTCAAGGCTACATTTTAATTTGAAAAGTTCAAGTTTCTATCATCGTTGATTTTCGGGCATTGTTCATCTTCTCTTCGTGCCTTGATGTAGGGATTTCTTTAATGATTTGCATGTCATTTAGCTTTGTTATGAGTTACTTGGATAAATTAATATTTTGGAAGTTTTGGGTTTAGGTAATACATTTTGTAAATGCATAAAGAGGGGGTTCCTCAAATTTTCCTAAAGTGATCCTATTTGGGGTTGTTGGTAATCTTGTTTGGTGTTGGGAGGCTGAAGAAATGATCTTTAAAAGGAGAAACCCCAATTTTTTTACTAAACCCTTGAGTTGTGTTCAAGGTTGAAAGTATTATATGTTGTTGGATTTGTCATAAACTTGTGATTTTGACCTACACGGTTATGAAAGAGGTTTTGAGGTATATTGAGGCAAGATGATCTTTCAATGTAAATGTTATTGGAAATGGTTAGTTATGCTCTTGATATATATATATATATATATATATATTGTCTATTTTGGAATATATTGAATATAGATAACTGTTTTGGCTATTGTGGAGGATACCATTGATTGTTATAGAAATAACATGATAACTAGGTTAACTAAAATCAATTCTCTCATGCATTCCATCTATTTAATTGTTGCATACTTATACATTTGAAAATGTTAAAAAGTATTATCTTGGAAAAAAATGGGTGAATACCGTGGCAAATCTGATTAAAGGGTGTGGTTGTGGTTAATTAAGATGTCTTTTGTGTCCTTGATGAAAGACCAAAAATTCGCGCGGTTAGAATGCCGTACTTCTGGTTAGTTGTCGATGAAGTGGCTTTTGGTAGTGCTTTTATAGCCTGCTTGCAGACATGTACCTAGAAATTCCAAGTGTGTATATTTATTGTCCTGTTTTCTATTTTGTAGCAACGATACATTCATCGTGGTTTGAACTCTGGCATACCATTATTTAAAAAAAAGAAAGAAAAATGCATGTTTTATAATGGCATTTCATATGCATTCACCATTAACAAACATCATACATGTCATTAAACTTATTTCTATTGTGTTTTAGCTCACCCTATGTGGAAAATAACTATCAGG